GGTTTGGTAGCAGGGGGCCCAAGCGGGGATGCCGCAGCGTCCGGTCGGTTGGGTGGGGGCCGCTGCCGCACGCGCGGAGGGTGTCTTGTGATGCGCGTGGTCATCTCTGTGGCGGCATCGCGGTGTGGTTGGGTTGCGCGGGCCGCGTGGATTTCAGGCAGGAGCGTATTGGGGTGTATCGGGGCCCAGTCATCTGCGAGGACGTGCCCAGCTGGGTCCCTGCTTATCATGGCAGTCACAGCGTCCTGCGGCGCCATGGCATTGACAAACCACGCCCGTTCGGGGCTCACAAGCGCATCCCAGTCAGTGCTACGCATGGCACGCACCCCGCGATGCGCAGCCATTGTTATTGAATCAAGCATATACCAGTTTTGGTCCACGCAGCTGCGGGCAACCGCCACCCAGTGGCTTGGGTTGAAGCACACTAACGCTCGGTCGCAGCCCCTTGCGCTGAGGATGTGTTGTAGTGCAGCGCCTGAGATGTCGCCACCGCTGTTGCAGATGTTTGTAAATGCGGCTCGGGTATCAGGTTCAGTGTGCTCGTAAATAAAAAAGTTGAGGGCATCTATGCTGAACCACCCGCCTGGACTGTAGGGCCGCCCTCCTATGAGCTTGGTGGCCTCTGCTGGCCACCGCTCCCGAAGGTAGCTGAGCATTTCGGGACCATCAATCAGGCGCTCTCCAAAATATGCGTTCAGCGCGTGAGCCCCACAGAATCCCTCTCTCTGCGGCTCACAGTACAGCCCCACCGAGGCCGGGTCCACATACCCCTGGGTTGGCGCTCTCTGCTGTGTGCCTGCTGGCCGTGTGTGCATGCATCCGGGGGGCGGGGCCCCACCTCTCTGTTCAGTTGGTGGCGTGGCGTTCTCTCTCAGACGGGCTTGCAGCTGCAAGAAATGTTGCCAACGGGCATTGTTGGCTTTGGCGTGTACTGCTTTCCAGCCTGCAGGCGGCGAGGGGTGCGCTGGGGGCCAGTTTGACAAGCGTCGTGGAGCCGGGCGTTTGCAGAAAATTTTAGGGCAAAGCCGCCTGCGCGCAATTTCAAGCGCGCGTGGCTGTCCCCGGCTGCGGGCTTGCTTATCCATGCACAGCTGGTGGTACTGCGTGGAGCGGGTGGGGTAGTGGCGTTGGGGCCTCCGCCATGCTGTGAGCATGAGTATGCCCAGCAGCGTCAGCGCACATGTCAGCCTCAGCGTATCAAGGCCGTACATCAAGGGGTTGTGGGTGGTGATGATGCGAACATGTTCAGCATTGTCAGTGTGTACAGCAGCATCAGCAGCAGCGGCCGCAGCCGCAGCCGCTGCCGCAGCAGCACATGGCAGGTTGACATTTCCAGATGCAGCAGCAGCAGCAGCCGCAGCAGCGGGGCAAGCAGCGTCGGGTCCATGGCCCATGCAGCATATCAGTGTATCCGCCTGTTCCCAGGCAGTATAAAGTATCTGCTTACTAATAGCACTTCTTGCTAGGGATGTCGGCGCCAGACCCACGTGCAATTTTGAATTGGGCTGCTCGCGCGCGACAGGTTCATACTGCCTAGCATCCCAGCTCGCTGCCACGGTGGTAGTAGATAATGTGTATAGTATCAGTAACTTTATCAGGGTGACGTATGGTGCCAGGGACCAGGATCGGGTGCAGTCGGGTATGCTTCTGCGGGTATCAGTTTGCTCGGGCCCCCGGGGGCCCTGAGCGGGTGCTTGTGGAGACACAGGTCGTATCTGACGGACGCTGGGGTTGCTCACGACTCCCCATTTAAGCAGCCCGTCAGATCGTTTCAAGTGCTCATGTGC